ATATGCATATAATTAAATAATACATAATAGATATGTTGATATTGTTTAGTAATTGTAGTCTGATCTAAATTTGTATAAATGCCTCGTTAAACATTTTGACCTGCCAGTCATTTATGTTGCAATCCAGTCAAGTTATTATCCAAAAGATAATTCCTTTGTTTACATTGGTGACTAGAACTGCACTGACCACACCCCGCCAAAATTTAATGTACAGGTGACTGTCAAATACAATACAATACAATACAATACAATATTTCTTTATTTTGTCAAGATTACATATAATGTAACAACAGACAATTTACAAATAATATCAGTATTATAACATATGTGGGTTAACAATTTATATAGAACGAGACATGCAAAAAATATTTCGAAAAAAACATTTTATAAGAATAACGTGTCTAATGTTATGAAAGTTTTGACTAAATAGCTTTTACCAGGGGAACAGTGTAAAAACCGGGCATTTTTGCATGCACACAAATAAGTTATATTTAGAATAATTATACAAGTCAATTTCTCCCAACTAGTACTTTATATCTAGCAGTTTTCATACTATAAAAAATTGGAGACATTAGAATAAAGCTAAACAGTATCGATAAGTTCGTAATAATCTCAAATAACTGTATATATACAAAGACACGATTTACTATTGTGTTGCACGATTATTTTGTAGTAATCATGTCAGTCTAGGAATTTCATTCATAAAAATGTGGATTTAGTCGGTAGCGTTGACCAATCAGAGTAAATTTTACCTGGCGAGTTGTTTAATTTTATTTATAAGAAGAAAGCAACTTATTGTTTCAAAATATATGAAACAAACATACTTAAAGATTTCAAGGTAGCATAGTCGGTACTATTTAACAATTCATTATACTTGATTACATTTGGATGTTTATAATAATATTCTGGGATATATTTTTTCCGTATGACAGTAAAACGTTTACAGGACATAATTGCGTGAAATTCGTCTCCAAGTGTTCGGCACTCTTCGCAGATACGCTCGTTGTATGGAGTATTGTTATATCTTAGAATTTCTATCGGAAGTCGGTGATTAGCTGTACGAAATTTAAGAAGCGGTATGTACAAGTTTTTCGGTAATATTGTTAAATAGTCTTCTCTTTTATGTTCTTGTTTATACAAATAATATAATTTTCCTTTGTTTGAGGCTTGTAATTTTCCATTCCAATCTGTTATAAATTGATCTACTAGCACTTGCTTTATTAGTAAATGGACATTTTTTATAGTGATATCTTCTTGATTCAAGAATAGATAGGGAAACCTGTATTGTTTAAAATATCTTTTACTGAATTTAGCCATCTGTAGGAATTACTACTTTGAATCATTATTTTGTAAATAATATTTGAATATTTATTCGAATCATTTGTTTTTAAAATATTCCAAAACCGAATTATTTTTGTATTGATATTTATTTGCAACGGATAACGCCCCAATTCCCCATATAACATATAAGCGGGGGTACTTTTCCTTGTATTTGTAATTTTTCTTAGAAAATCTAAATGAACCTTTTCTATGTCGTTGTTATTTTCTATACCCCATATTTCGCTTGAAAATGTGAGTATGGGTAAGATTGTGTTATCAAATAATTTAAGCTGAAGATCTAAAGGTAGATTTAGGTTAAAAATACGTTTGTATAACAAATGCATCGCCTTTTTTGCTTGAGTTATAATATGGTCACGTGCTTTGTTAAATTTGCCAGTCTGACTAAAAACAACTCCCAGATACTTATATTTTTCTGTTATCTCAATAGGATGATTATTTATGTAAAATGTTAGGTTACGAGTACCGCGTTTATTCGAGCCGAAAACAATAACTTTCGTTTTTTCTGTATTTATTTGCAGTTTCCATTCGTTGCAGTACGAGTAGAAATCATTTAAGCATTTCTGAAAATCTTGAGGGTTTCGCGCCAGAATAATAGTATCGTCCGCGAAGAGAAGAGCTAGGATAGTCAGAGTTTCTATGTTATCGTCGGATGCGTAGTCTAATGTAATCCCAGAATTGCCTTTTGATGTCAAGTAAGCTAAAAGGTCATTAAGATACAGGGAAAATAAAAGTGGGGACAAATTTTCCCCTTGGCGGACCCCAATATCGCACGAGAACATTGCTGAAATATTGCCATTTAACTGAATACAAGATTTAACCCCTTTATACATATTGCGGATAAGTCTCAGGAATTTTCCGTTTATTTCAGTATCGATTAATTTTTGGAAAAGTTGCGCACGTGGTAAATTATCAAATGCACGAGAGAAATCAATGAATCCGACATATAGTTTTTGTTTTTGTTTTTTTAAAAATTCTATGAGAAAATTCAATGTAAACACATGATCAAGAGTTGACATATTTTTTCTAAAGGCAGTTTGATTTCCATGGATCAGGTTATTTGTTTCGACAAACCTTGTCAGTCTATCATTTAGGACACTAGTGAATATTTTTGAGAGACAGGATAAAATCGTAATGGGTCTATAGTTTTCCGGGGAAAGTTTCGAACCTTTTCCTTTATAGATTGGAATAATGTAGCCCTCTGACCAAGTACTAGGGATAATACCAGTATCCAATATCTTGTTGAAAAGTTTTGCATAGATTGGTAGCATAATATTCTTAGTGCTTTTAATATATTCGTTTGATATGGAATCGGATCTACTATATGCTTTACCATTTTTACATTTTATAATAGCTTTGCTTATTTCGGAATGCGTAATTTGTGAATTTAATATTTCATTTTCGTAATTCATATCGGTTTCATCGGCCATATAGCTGCTATTTTCAGATGGTTTATTTACTTTTTCAAAATAATCACGAAATTCTTGTAAATTTGGGGTTTTTATGTCTTTATTACGATTTATGGAATTTAAAAACGTCCAATAACCTTTGGGGTCACTTTTATTCAATTTACGCAATTTCGATTCATTGATAAAATTATGTTTATTTATGTAATACTTCATCGTGCGTTTATACTCCTTGCTTGCGCGGTTGAGTAAGTTTCGGTTATGCGGGTTATTATTTTCTTTGTATGCTTTACGTGCACGGTTATATTGGGATTTTTTACTTCTGCAGTGAGGCCCGAACCAGGCTTTGTTTTTAATTCGTAATTTGTTTTGCGTTTGTTTTTTACGCATTTGAGATTGTACATTACTAGTATGAAATGTGCTCTTGGCGGAGTTTCCAAAAATAATTGAAATGTTTTGCATGATATCATCTAGAAACGGTGATTGCGCAGATTCCTCCGAAGGAAAATTTTCTAGAAGGTTTAAAATATGTGATACATGTTCTTGGTCTATGTTTTGTACAAATTCTATACTTTTATCTGATTGCCATTTAAAGTGCTGGGGACTTGCTTCGGTTTCGCTAACATCTGAACTACTATTATTTAAGACCTCTGTGTCAGATCCGATAATTGTTGTAAGAAGTGAGTGGCCATCGGAAAAAATGCTATCAAGTTCAGTAATGTAGAAATCTTTGAGATATTTTAATAAGTTTGCAGAGGCTATAGTGTAATCTATAACGGAGTTATTTTTAAATGTACAAGCCGCTTCAAGGCTATCAATCCCAAATCTACCACTGAGTATATACAAGTTATTATTTATACAAACATCAACTAGTTTTCTACCTAAATTATTAATATTAAGGTCTTTGGACGCTCTATTTACATTTATGCCTAAACTTCTTAACACATCCGTCTGATTAAAAAAATCAACCATATTTTCATCAAAATCAAAAAAGCTTGACAAAAATGCGTCTGGTTCTGAGAAATCCTGCAACAATCCAATATGAGCATTAGCATCACCAGTTAACATAACATTTTCATAAGAGTTACACATATCAACAACTTCGTTTTCAAAAATTAATAATTCATCTTGGTTGAAGAATCTTGAGGACTCTGGTGGGATATACACAATACCTAATATCAAGCATTTATTTGACTGAAATGGATTTTTATTTATCTTGATCCAAAATACGTAATCTGATGTAGAATCGATTTTTTCAACATGTTTACTAATATCATTTTTGATAAAAGCCCCCACTCCACCAGAGCGTCTCAATGATGCTTGTTTTCTAGGCTGGCTTAGAAATACATAATTATCAATGTTTATTTCATCATAGTTTGCAATTTTACATTCTGTACAACAAAAAATATCATAGTTTGATACTAAATCTATAAATTCTGGGAAGTTCGATCTTGATTTAATACCACAGACGTTAAGCGTTCCAATTTTTAGTTCACTACTTTTGAGGTACTTATAACACTTGTTTTTATCACTGTTATTACAAGCATGAATATTGTTCACTGACCCCTGTCTGTCCTATGTGACGGTATTTGGTTGCGCTGTTTGAGATGTATCTTGATCAACATTGCCGTTATACTGGTTACGTATCTGTTGGATGGACGGCGATCTCGCGTGAAACGTTATTGGGGAGAGTTGACGTCGGGGAACACTCACACGACGGGTTAAAGATCTGCTTCGCCGTTGTTCATCTTGCGTGTGTACATCAATAGATGCAGTATGTTGTTTATTCGGACTGAAGACCTGTTTAACATTGGTGTTATCAGATTTGTTTCCGGCGATATTTTCTTGTACAAAAGAAGGTTGTTGTGAAGTAGTGGAATTGGTATTTTGAAACAGTGGGTGATTCATAGATCGGGCCAACATGTCACTTTGATCTTTTAATGTGTTTGCTATTCTTTCATTCACATTTGTTACTCGAAGTTTGGAAAGCATTGGGTACCAGTCCGGAAAGAGATTTATATGTTCTACTTTGTTTACAATGATCGCCGCCGGAAAAGTTAGTTTGACGTTTTCGGCTCCATGTTTAGAACGCTGGGCTTTAAACTCTGGCCATAACTGCTTGCGTGCCTCCGCGATTTCTGTTGGATAGTCACGTGATATGCTGATGCCTGTATCTTTAAGTATTTTGGCTTTACTCAGAATGAAGTGAACTTGTCTCACATCACTAAATGTTGCTAAGATACTACGTGGCTTTGGATTTGGTGGGGGTTGCCCTGTAACGGAGGGTTTTTGTTTTCTATACCGACCCATTCTAAATGCTCTTACAATGTTAAAGTTTTTATCAAGATTCATTTTCTTTCCTAAAACAAATTCAACAGTGGATTCTGGCCATTCACCTTCTTTCTCTGGGCACCCGGAAAAGATTAAATTTACTTCACGTTGGCGGGCCTCAATGTCCATTTGTTTGTATTCGAGTAATCTTATACGCTGGTCGTTGACCACAGTTGATGCACTGTTGAAATACACATAACGTTCAACATTATCAATACGAGATTGTATAAGATGTAAATTTTGCATTCCCTCTAATAAAACATTTAACTTTTCGTCCATAGGCAATTGCTTGAGAGAATCAATATCGTTTGCAAGGGGAGTTTCAATGTCATTAAGGTAATCATTCAATCGAAATCATAATATTTAAGTTCTATTCTAATTCAATATCAGACTAAGTGGACATTGGTAACAATAATAATTAATTAATTAATTAATTGATTAATCAATTAATTTATTCATTTATCTATCTATCAATCTATTTATAATTGAATGAATGAATGAATGAATGAATGAATGAATGAATGAATGAATGAATGAATGAATGAATGAATGAATGAATGAATGAATGAATATATAAAAAATAAATAAATAAGTAATCGGTAGTTTCTGCCGCCATATTAATTGATGACATAGGAAAATCACTACCTCATTTTGTTAACCTTCATGTCAGTTTACTTAATATGTGTATTTCTTTTCCTCGCTAATACATTAAAATATATGCTGTTATGTTTCTTTTGGCGTGTTGTACAAGTTAAATTTATGTAAAAAATGATTTGTTATTTAAGTGCTCTAAATTAACGTGCCTACATGATTTTCAAATACGCCGCTTTTTTCACAAATAGCCATTCAATTATTACACAGAAAGAAAGAGATCAATGAAACAGACGAGAAAACATCCTAAACGATCTAATTTCTGTTACAAACTATGTAATTTAAGGCGTACATGTATAAATTATTATAACTTACATTATTATATATGAACTATTTATTTTCAAAAGATCAACATCCTCATTTTCTTTATTTTTTTATCATTCTTTTAAACCGTGTTTTTTTTTTCGTTTTTTTTTCTGTGTGTGTGTGTGTCTTTTATATAATAATGCTGTTATGAAAAAGCCCCATCATGAAGGGAAATAAAACTTAATTGATCTCAGTGAACAAAAGGATGTAATACGTAATTTATGACCTTCGATGGTTATGTTTTTCACACGTTCAAGTGGTCAACATTCTTTTAGGGGGCAACAAGACCAGCCAGTCATTTATGTTGCTATCCAATCAAGTTATTATCCGAAAGATAATTCCTTTGTTTTCATTGGTAATTAGAACTGCACTGACCACACCCCGCCCAAATTTAATGTACAGGTGACTGTTATACTGGTATTGAAACTTAAGGTAATCATCCAATCGAAATCATAATATTTCAGATCCATTCTAATTCAATATCAGACTAATTGGACATTTGTTACATTAACGAATAAATTAATTTATGAATTTATAAATTCATTAATTAATTTATTTATCTAATCAATTTATTAATTTATTAATTTATTAATTTATTAATTTATTAATTTATTAATTTATTAATTTATCAATTTACTAAATTTTTAATTTATTTAATAATTTATTCATTTAATTAAATTATAAGTTTAATTATTTATTAGTTTATTAATTTATTGAGTTATTAATTTATTCATTTAATTATTTATTATCTGTCTATTTATATATTTATAATTAAATGAATGATTTTAATTAAATTTTTTTATTTATTTACTTATTCATTCATTCATTCATTCATTCATTCATTCATTCATTCATTCATTCATTCATTCATTCATTCATTCATTCATATAGAATTCATTAATTAACTTATTGATAAATAAATAAATAAATAAATAATCGGCAATATCTGCCGCCATTTAATTGATGACGTAGGAAAATCCCTACCTAATTTTGTTAACCTTCATGTCAGTTTACTTAATATGTGTATTTCTTTTCCTCGCTAATACATCAAAATATATGCTGTTTTGTTTCATTTGGCGTGTTGTTCAAGTTATACATATCCAAACAAAAATGCTTTTGATATTTAAGTGCTCTAAATGAACGTGCCTACACGATTTTCAAATACGCCGTTTTGAACACAAATAGCCATTCAATTATCCAACAAAGAAAGAGATCAATGCAACGGACAAAAAAAAAACATCCTAAACGCTCTAATTTCTGTTACAAACTATGCAATTTACGGCGTACATGTATATATAATTTGTAAGTTTACATTATTATATATGAACTATTCATTTTCAAATGGTCAACATCCTCATTTTCTTCTTTCTTTATTTTTTATCATTCTTTTAAACCGTGTTTTTCCTGTGTGTTTTGTGTGTGTGTCTATGCTATTATGAAAAAGCCCCATCATGAAGGGTAATAAAACTTAATTGATCTCTGGGAATCAAAGGATGTGTAATATGATACGTAATTTATGACCTTCGATGGTTATGTTTTTCACACGTTCAAGTGGTGTCAACATTCTTTTAGGGGGGCAATCAGAGCTGACAGTCATTTATGTTGCTATCCAATCAAGTTATTATCCGAAAGATAATTCCTTTGTTTTCATTGGTAATTAGAACTGCAATGACCACATCCCGCCCAAATTTAATGTACAGGTGACTGTCATACTGTTTATGAAACTTACGGTAATCATCCAATCGAAATCATAATATTTCAGATCTATTCTAAATCAATATCAGACTAATTGGACATTGGTTACTTTAATGAATGATTTAAATAATTAATTTATAAGTTGATTAATTACTTTATTTATTTAATCAATTTATCGGTTTATTTATTTATTAATTGATTTATAAATTCATTTATTTAATTATGCCCCCTTTTGAAAAAAAGGGGGTATATTGCTTTGCACTTGTCGGTCCGTCGGTCCGTCGGTCCGTCCGTAGACCAAATGGTTTCCGAGTGATAACTAAAGAACCCTTAGGCCTAGGAACTTCAAACTTGGTATGGTGATTGGTCATGACAAGTAGATGACCCCTATTGATTTTGGGGTCAAGGGGTCAAAGGTCAAGGTCACATTGACCTTGTAAGCAAAAACGGTTTCCGATCAATAACTAAAGAACCTTAAGGCCTAGGAACTTCAAACTTGGTATGGTGATTTGTCATGATCAGTAGATGACCCCTATTGATTTTGGGGTCAAGGGGTCAAAGGTCAAGGTCACATTGACCTTGTAAGCAAAAACGGTTTCCGATCAATAAGTAAAGAACCTTAAGGCCTTGGAACTTCAAACTTGGTATGGTGATTGGTCATGATCAGTAGATGACCCCTAACGATTTTGGGGTCAAGGGGTCAAAGGTCAAGGTCACATTGACCTCTTTGGTAAAAACGGTTTCCGATCAATAACAATAGAACCCTTAGGCCTAGGAACTTCAAACTTGGTATGGTGATTGGTTATGACCAGCAGATGACCCCTATTGATTTTGGGGTTAAGTGGTCAAAGGTCAAGGTCACATTGACCTTGTAGGTAAAAACGGTTTCCGATCAATAAGGAAAGAACCCTTAGGCCTAGGGACTTCAAACTTGATATGGTGATTGGTCATGATCAGTAGATGACCCCTATTGATTTTGGAGTTAAGGGGTCAAAGGTCAAGGTCACATTGACCTTGTAGGTAAAAACGGTTTCCGATCAATAACGAAAGAACCCTTAGGCCTAGGGACTACAAACTTGATATGGTGATTGGTCATGATCAGTAGATGACCCTATTGATTTTGGGGTCAAGGGGTCAAAGGTCAAGGTCACATTGACCTCTTAGGTAAAAACAGTTTCGGATCAATAACTAAAGAACCCTTAGGCCTAGGAACTTCAAACTTGGTATGGTGATTGGTCATGATCAGTAGATGACCCCTATTGATTTTGGGGTCAAGGGGTCAAAGGTCAATGTCACATTGACCTCTTAGGTAAAAGCAGTTTCCGATCAATAACTAAAGAACCCTTAGGCCTAGGAACTTCAAACTTGGTATGGTGATTGGTCATGACCAGCAGATGACCCCTACTGATTTTGGGGTTAAGGGGTCAAAGGGAAAGGTCACATTGACCTTGTAGGTAAAAATGCTTTCCGATCAATAACTTAAGAACCCTTAGGCCTAGGAACTTCAAACTTGGTATGGTGATTGGTCATGACCAGCAGATGACCTATTGTTTTTAGGGTCAAGGGGTCAAAGGTCATGTAACATTGACCTTGTAGGTAAAAACGGTTTTCGATCAATTAACTAAAAACGCTTAGGCCTAGGAACTTCAAACTTTGTATGATGATTGTTGGTGACCAGCAGATGACCCCTATTGAGTTTTGGGTCAAGGGGTCAAAGGTCAAGGTCACATCAACCTTGTAAGTAAAAACGGTTTCTGATCAATAACTTAAGAACGCTTAGGCCTAGGAACTTCAAACTTGGTATGGTGATTTTTCATGACCAGCAGATTACCCCTTTTTATTTTGGGATCAAGGGGTCAAAGGTCAAGGTCACATTGACCTTGTAAGTAAAAACGGTTTCTGATCAATAACTGAAGAACACTTCGGCCTAGGAACTTCAAACTTGGCATAGTGATTGGTCATGATCAGCAGATGACCCCTATTGATTTTGGGGTCAAAGGTCAAGGTCACATTGACCTTGTATGTTAAAACGGTTTCGGATCAATAATAAAAGAACCCTTAGGCCTAGGAACTTCAAACTTGGCATGGTGATTAGTCATGACCAGCAAATGACCCCTATTGATTTTGGGGTCAAGGGGTCAAAGGTCAAGGTCACATTGACCTTGTAAGTAAAAACGGTTTCTGATCAATTAAGTAAAAACGCTTAGGCCTAGGAACTTCAAACTTTGTATGATGATTTGTTTTGACCAGCAGATGACCCCTATTGAGTTTTGGGTCAAGGGGTCAAAGGTCAAGGTCATGACCAGTAGATACTTGATAACCCTTATTAATTGTTTGATCACTGGGTCAGAAGTCATGCATAATTACCTTATCACATGAATAATTGGCTGCTGATAGGGGGCATACATGTTTTACAAACATATCTTGTTAATTTATAAGTTAATTAATTTATTAGATTATCAATTTATTGATTTATCAATATATTAATTCAATTATTTATTTTTCTATCTATTTATATATTTATAATTAATTGAATAAATGAATGAATGAATGAATGAATGAATGAATGAATGAATGAATGAATGAATGAATGAATGAATTTATTTATTTATTTATTTATTTATTTATTTATTTATTTAGAATAAATAAATAAACTAATAAATAATAAATAAATAAATA